CTGGTAAGCAGTTGCTCCCATGCACTGCCCACGCACTTGGCTGAGAAACCTAATCCACTGCCATGAAGTTAATTCTGACCCATCATGACCCTACAGGCCAGAGTAGAGCTTCCCAATGGGATTTCCAAGACCCCGTACTCTTTTTATGGGTGCTCTGGTGGCCTAATAGGAAGAAGCTTCACTGAAATCCCAAAGGCACATGGTTCAAATCCACCTGCTGTTCCATGGGAGAAAGATGGGCACCTTCCTCTGGTGCGATTTACTGCCTCTGAAAACCCACTGAGGGTCAGCTATGAGTCGGTTCTAACTCGATGGCACACAACAACAACGACAATCTTTATAGACACAGACTGTTCGTCTTTCTCCCGCAGAGTAGCTGGTACATTTAAGTCAACAATCTTTCCATTGACAAGCAAGTAAGTCACTGTGTCACTTGAGTGTTGTCATTGTTGACTCATAAAGTTACATTCTGCCCCAATTCTGCCCCAAATACTTCAGTCTTCAATTCAGTTACTAGATCTTAGTACTCCTGGCCCCAGAAGATTCAGGTTCTACTAATATTCTGAGTCTTCAAGATCCCCTAGCCCCCATTAAGTCTGGATCCCTGGAAAATACACTTCTTCAGCTATGCTTCTCCGAAACTGGAGGGAGGGGAGGGAATGGATGAAGTATGATCACCAGGAGTCGCAGATCCATGCCTTTTACACCTGCCTCTGCCACAGCTTTAAGTGCAGTATCAGTAGTTCTTTCTTCCCGTCTTTTTTTTCTTCTTTCAGTAGAAAATTTATTTCCCTTATTCTGAAATTACAAATAATGGCAATCTTAACAAATCCTATAAATTCCAGCCATGAAAAAAAAAATCCACAATCATTCAACAATGTGATCATATAATATTTTGTGTGATTTTAACAAAAGAAGTAGATATCTTTAACAGGAACTACATTGACAATTGTGAGTTGTTGAGTTTTTTATTGTGTATCATTCATGTATATTGCATTTCACACATACCTGCCTTCACTGTGTTTCAAATGATCTCAAATGCATTTTGTTTTATAAGATTAATCACCGTTGATCTATGCCTACTATTACCGCTTATTTTCAGGTCCCCATTGGATCTCTCCTAATTCCTTCACACACTTCATCTGCCCATCAACTCTGTTATCCTAATGACTTCCCCTCCTTCCCACCCTCTATCTCCTTCCCCTTTCCCCTTTCTCTTTTGGACTTTTATACACGTTACTAGTTATCCTTCTGTTCTTACAATAATAGTCGTATGCAGTATTTGTCCATATAAAACTGAATTAGGTCACTCAGCATAATACTATCTGGACTCTCCCATGTTATAGAATAATTTACAAAATTGTTGCTTTTTAATACTGCATAGTATTCCATTGTGTGAATGTCCATAATTTCTCAGTCATTTCATTTGTTAGTGGACATTTGGGATGTTTCTTTTTTCCCTATTATGAATAATGGTACTAAGAATATGGATGTACTCATCTCCATTTGTGCCTCAGTTCTGTTATCCTCAAGGTAAATTCCTAGCAGGACAACAGCTAGGTCTTACGGAATTTCTATGTCCAGCTTTTTGAGCAAATGCCAAACTGTCTTCCAGAGTGGTTGTACCATTTTCCAATCCCACCAGCAGTGCCTGAGAGTTCCAGTCTCTCCATGTCCTCTCCAACATTGATTTCTTGCTGTCGTGTTAAACTTTGCTGCTACTATTGTGGCAAGATGGTATCTCACTGCGGGTTTGATTTCTCTCTCTCTCTCATTGCCAGTGATTTTGAGCATTTCTTCATGTGACTGTTGCCCATTCAAATATCTTCCTTTGTGAAAATTCTTTCCATGTCTTTTGCTCATTCTCAGATTGAGTTATTGTGAAGGCCCAGTAGTATTCTGTAAACTTTTGTTAGGAGGCTCTTGTCTGAGATGTCATTGCCAAATGTTTTTCCCAGTTTGTAGGTTTTCTTTTCACCCTATTGGGAAAAAAATTTTTAGGTACACAGGCGCACAATTTTTAGAAGGTGCCATTCACCAACTTTGTCCTCTCCTAGTTGTTTCTTTCTGGCTGTATTTGCAATCCTAGTTATACCACAGGCTAAGCCTTCTTATTCATCACAGTACTTTCCTAACTAGCACCTCAGATCCATCTGCCCCACCTTCCTTCCATCAGCCAGAAGCAACCACACCTTCTTCTGGCTTCTACAATGCTTCCCCAGTGCTCCCATGGCCAAGTTCAAACCACTAGGTGGTGGCTTCATTGAGATAACAGTTTCCCTTCATCGGCAGCTGCTCCGCCCCGGCTCCCATGAATTGCATACCTTCTCCTTTGCCCTGTGTTGCTCAATGGTGACACCATTGACATTTTGAGTGGGACAGATCTTCATTGTGTAGGATGCTGCAGCAGATGCAGCATCTCTGCTTCCTGCCCATGGTACTGTACCCTGCATCACCATGACAACTCAGACATGTCCCGGATGCTCTTACTCTTTCCCAATTGGTTAGCACCTACCGTCTTTCACCACTCATCTCAATGATTGACTTGATTCAATCTATTTTCCTATATTCAAAGCATCAAAGCATAATGACTATTTCCTATGTCTCAACCCAATTGTTCATGTTGCTGTTGTTAGATTTCAAGTCAACTATAACTCATAGCAACCCTTTGGACAACAAATCCTGTCGTATCCTGTGCATCCCTTTGACCAGCAGACCTGAATCCTGCCATATCCTGTGCCATCCTCACAATGTCCAACACCCTCAAGCCCATTGGTGCTGCCACTGTGTCAGTTCATTTCATTGAGGGGTCTTCCTGTCTCTTGCTGACTCTTCACTTTTCCAAGCGTAGTGTCCCTTTCCAAATCACAGCCTCTCCTAGCAGAATGTGCAAAATATGAGAGATCAATCTAATAATTTCCCTTTGTCCAATGAAAGGCTTCTCCTGGTAACACACCCAGAGTATGTAAAGTCAAGTCCACCATTGTGGCTTCTAGGAGGCACTCTGGCTTCATTTTTTCAAAACAGATTTTTCTCTCCTTTTGGCAGTCCGTGATATAGTCAGTTATTCACTAACGCCACAGTTCAAAAATATCCATTATTCGTCAAGCTTCTTTTATTCATCAGGCTTGTAAGAGGGTCAGCATAATTTGGCAAAGGGACTCTAACAATGAGCTTAAACATAGTCAAAGACGGCACAGCTTCAGACAAGTTTCCGAACCTCTGTTGTCCACAGGGTTGGTATGAGACGGAGCTGACTTGATGGCACCCACGAGCAACAATAGTCTTTCCTGCTGGAAGCCCCTCCTGACTCTTTCCTAGCCCACCCTGGGACTCTCTCTTTCAGAGCCCTACACCCTGTGCATTGTAAGACTTAGTTTCCATATTTCCCTCTCCCTTTCACAGTACTTCTCAGCCCTAGTTTTCCAGAGGAGCAAGGAGCAAGTCTCAACTCACTTCATCTCTCAGTCCCTTGACAGGATGTCTGAATAGGTACTAAATTGTATTTGGTGAATAAACAAATCAGCTAGTAAGCATACTTTCCCTGATGATTCAGAGATCTTCCTCCCAGGAAGAGATATTTTTAGAGTCAATGGGCACACTGACAGCTTCTTAGCTCTGTACCAAATGCCTGCTAGATTTACACATCTGGGTTTTCTGTTGTGTCTTGTTTCTAATAATCCTTCTCTCCCTTTGGAACTTGAGGCCAACTTTCCAGACTATTGTATCTAGGCACTGCATGAACTTCAGTGTTGGACAATGAGATCAAAACAGTACTAATTTGAGGTTCTTTCATCTATTTCTGAGTTCTTACTAGGCTTCTCAAACCTGAAGTTTTACCGTTAGTTTGTGAAATAGTTTTGTTTGGTGTTTTTGGGGGGTTTTGTTTGTTTGTTTTTTTAAATTTTGAGTCATTATTTTCTTTTTGGAAACGTCTCAAAGATGATGATCAGGAGAGACTTAAAGAAATGTTGCGATGGTGAGATTATCATTCCTAAGATTCTGGCTAGTGAAAGAGTGATGACCTATATTTTTCCACATATTTTCTATATTGTTCTTGTGTCTCCAGAGTCACAAACCACATGGGCATACATTTTTCTAAAAAAAGAAGATGACGTTTTCTAACAATAAGCACTGGACTGTAAATCTCAGACATAAGACCTTTCTAGTTTTGGGTTTGGTTAACTTGGTACCATAACCTCTTTCCATTATAATTCCTAGAGAATGAAGTCTTGGACCGTAAAAGACAGAGATCAAAATAAATGGACAATACAATTTATCAGCTACCATTCACATTTAATATGTTGCTAAGTGTTCCTTAATACATGTTTTAATAAATGCCACATAGCTCAGTCAATAATTTTAAGTTCTTTATTTTATTTTCAGTATTTCCTGTTACCACTATTTTTCTGTTTCATAAGGTAATTACAATTTAAGAGGCAAAACTATGCAAAAATAATGGTTTAAAATAGGGAATTTAAATACATTTTTCAACAACTTGCTCTTTGTAAGAAAGTCTATATGACCTCATGCCCTCCCATATAATTTCATTCTTTATACTAAACAAAATAGCTTATAGAAAAGGTGTAGGATGCAACAGTTAAATACAGAAAACATATCTATAAATAACATAAAATAAAGTTAGGCTTTAATTAGAAGTGATGCTTAACAAAACTAATCTAATAGCTAGAAAGTTTGTGTAATGTCCTTCCTCTTATGCCTTATGCTAAATAAACCAAACATAGCTTATAGAAAAAGTTTAGTGTTAAATAAACACAGAAAACCTACATCGATAAATAACATAAGATAGAGTTGAACAGAAAATGATGCTTAATAAAGCGAACTTAAAGGTACTAGACCATGATGCAATATGAATCAAGTTCATTCATTGGACAAGTCCAGTGCAGGACCTCAACGCCATGCAAGAGGAAAGGTTGGCCTGAATCTGGTTCGTCTTATACTTGGGCTGTGTCCAATTCCAATCTGAAGAAGCATAGTTTTCACATCTTCTTAATTCTCTGACTGTAAAAGAAAAGAGGAAGAAGAAAGTAAACACAGATGAGGTGACTAGCTGTCCTTGGTACTAAAGATGCCTTCCATGCCCTTAACCTTGACTTGGGCTGCCAAGCAGGCCATAGGGCACCCTGGTGAAGTGCAGAGAGTGAGAGTTCGGCCCAGCAAACCCAGTTAATGAATGACACGAACCGGACGTGCACACTCATCCTGAGTTCCAGGGCTGGGTGTGGAAGACACACTGGCCTTCAGTGACTTCTGCTCATTGATAAAATCTTCCTCTCTGATATCATCAGTGTCATTCAGAACCAGCATTCTCTGTTGTTTCTATTTAAGAACCCCAATGTTTATTTTTCAGTTTTTTTATAAGCATTCAAATGTTTCTTTAAGTATATAAACAGAAGGTACCAGTTAGTGATACTCAAGTGCACATACAAATGAAAACAACAACAAAAATAGCTGGTTGCTGTTGAATCTACATTGACTGACAGCGACACCACCTGTTCCAGAGCAGAACTGCACCCCAGTGGACCCTTTCAGGAGCTGATTGCCGAAACACCTTTTTCTTTCAGTGCCTGGGGTTAGAACTGCCAACCTCTCGGTTAGTAGTGAAGCAATTAACAGCATGCCTGCCCCATTGATGTGCATAATGCTTAGAGGATGTAATACATCACGGGGAAAATGGCTGAGTCAAAAATAATAAAAATAATGCCAATTTCCCCTTTAAAAAAAAATTCCACAGGGCTCTTGTTAAAGAGCCCGCGGAGCCTAAGACCCTCAATTTTGCGTGTGCTCCCCCCTGGCCCCACCACAAAGGCTTGGGAGAAAGCTTGGAGGGGTTCGTACCTTAGTTTCCGCACAGCGTCTTTGACCCACGCGGCCTTAGGGTCAGCACAGATAGCATATTTTCTTGTGTGAAGGCTGGAAAAAGAAAGTTGGAAAATTTGATTTGTGCTTAAAAAGCTTGGGAGCTTCTTCCACAGAATGTGTAACGGAACCATCTTATTCTGACTAATTTCTCAACACTTTTTTCTTTTGTTTTTACCATTTCAGCAAAAGAGGTGAAATAAAATGAAAGGGGAGGATAAAATAACCACGAAAAAATCCTCTACTGCAGAGTGGCATCAGAGGTGAAGTCCCTGAGTTTTTCTGCAATGTCACAGTGTGACAAAATGAAGGGGTGATAATCCCAGCTAATTATGATAATTAATTTTATTATTGTGTTTCATTATGCTGCTCCTGAATCATGGAATAATTGTGTCTTAGACCAGTAACATTCACCAGTCAAAATACAATCTCATACATAGATCTGCATTATTCCAGATGATTATTATTACAGATTTGTCACAGACTTTACCAACAACTCGCTTCCTAAGGAAAAAAGTTCTTATTTCTGAAAGCATGCTTCAAAACTCTTTTACGTCTCATGTTTTCTTAAAGTAGTAAAAAAAAAGTAGCATGTGAATAGCCTGTAATCCCACTTTAGAAAGTGATCTTGCTATATACTATATTACTGGTTTTGCCCTATTTTGGTCTAATTCTAGACCTACTTACAATAACATTTTATATTATACAAACAAGTGTTACTGCTGCTTTACTTAGTTCTAAACAAAAACCAAAACTCTAAAAAACCCACTTTTCTGATAAATGGAAATCTCATGTGCCCCTCTATACCCTTTAGTGAAAGTCAGTTAGTAACTTACATGATAGCGTTGATGTCACAGGCTTCGTCAGCCAGCTGCTGTGTGAAGCCGACGATAAACCTGGGAGGGACGATCTTTTCTGTATATCGGAGGCAGCAGTCAAAGTTGCTTGCTGCTAAAAAAAGAAGAGGAATTGAGTCCACATGATTTACCAAGTTCCATGATTCTGCCGCGAAGTCAGAATCAATTACATGACAGCGTGAGTGGGTGATGGTTGTTACAGAAGTGCGGGAAGTTGTAAAACTCTAATCAATCAAATAATGTCCCCTGAGGTCTGTGAAAGAGGCTGAAGTTGGCTCTCAACGCCTGCCCTGTGCTGGATGAGCTTTGGACCCTCTGGAAGCTGTTTGGTTGGGAAGTGATGATGGTGGGAGCGTGGTTACCACTCCCAATCCAGAGGCTCACAGGTTTCGGCAGCTCTGAGCTCCAGAATCTGCTGAAGTCAACAGCACAGAGGACAGCCTGGCCACCAGCAGTAACCTTTCCCTCCTCCCAGAGCCAGCAAGGACCTGACAACTCCCATCACTCTCTATCAAGGGCGTTCTAACTGCATCCATCCCATAGGGTCCTCCCAGAGGACCTCAAGGCTTTGACAAAAATAGATGCAGTTCTCGCTCTGGTGCAGAAAGAGCAACTCTCTTACCTTCTGATCTGCTGCAGAAGAGAATCAGCAGCAGAGTTGTCAAAGCCATCAGGAGCAGATTCTTAACCCCACACATCATGCTCGCTCAAAGCGCTGTCTGCCCAGTAGTGCTGGTGCCAGAGTTCGGAGTGCTGAGATATTCCTGCACCAGCTATGACGGCCCTGGCCCTACTTATAGCAAATATTGGGAATGTACAGAAGAGGTGTGTCCTCACCTGGGGTTTTCCCCATTGATTAGCTCCTGTCGTCACAAAGAAAAACACACTGGGAAAACTTCCCGGCTTTCCCTAAGAAGCTGTGAAGGTTGGAGGGGGGCCAGAAGAAAGGGGTCAATCCTGTGCAGTCTGAGTGCTTGTAAAGAAGGAAGGGCCACTCAACCCCTGGGGCAGGAGCAGCGGGAGGGGAGGAATTGGGTTTGTCTTCATCTCTGTCATCTTTGAAAATTGAGGAGGAGGATTAGCAGTCTTAGAAAGTTCAGCCCCACCTGGGAACATTCCAGCACTCCTGTTGCCGTGCCCTTTGCAGAGTCAGTGGGGGAATGGGAAAAGGGGCAGGGGGCTGATAAGCATAAGCATACCCCTGCCCACACAGACGATGCTCATTTGTTGTCAGAGAACTCTGGAGATCTACACTGACTTTCGGAGCAGGTAACACAATCGCATTCTGTTGGTGTCTCCAGTTACAGTACAACAGAGCAAGCCCTTGGGTAAAATTCAAGCCTCAGCTCCATCTTTATTCACTGTCAACTAAGCCAAGAGTCTTCTCAAGCGGCACACTCCAATCACTCTCCCAGCCCAGCAGATGGCTCCTGCCAGCCTTTAACTCTTTATGCTGCTACAGCTACATTATCGGATACAGAGCCTCACAAGGCCTGTCACCAGTGGTTACGCAGTAAGGCAAGATATCAGACACTAGGGATAATGACAATTATTTAACATGAACTCCATGCCTGTTGCTGTTAGGTGCTGTCAAGTCAGAATTGACCCATAGCTGGCTTTCCAGTGGATTTTCAGGGGCAGGACTCAAGTGCAGGACAGTTTTAGAGCACAAGAGGCGACCGTCCCTCCTTCTCTCACCAGGCGGTGGGATAAAACTGTGTGCCTTTGGGACTGTAATGCAACTTTTCACCACAAGGCCATCAGAGCTCCCAAAAGCCCATACGGTTAGGATGGTGAAACTTTGTCTCACCTACTTTTGGCATTACCCCAGTGACTGGGGTAATCGGGGGTGTGTCAGAGGCAATGCGATTGATTGGCACAGGATAGAGCAGGGTTTAGGGCTGTTGTACATAGGGTCGCTATGAGTCACAAACGACTCGACGGCACATAACAACAACAACAACTTTTGGCATGTTAGGAGAGGCCAATTCCTTGAAAAAGACATCATGCTGAGAAAGGTACAGGATCAAAGGAACAGAGGAAGACTAAAACAAAACAAAACAGAACAAAAACACAACCAAACAAACTGGATCGACACAGTGACTGTAACGATGGCCCAAGCACATCTGGGATGCTGAGGATGGCACAGGCCAGCGCAGGGATGGACCCATTGCTCACAGGGTTGTTATGAGTCATGGTGGCCTCACTGGCACCTAACAACAGCAACAACACCTAAGGTGCAATAATAAAAGTTGCTCAATAGACACTCATGGCTTGGAAGTGAAAGGAGAGGCAACCAGATGTCATTCAAACAAGAAACTAGAGACCTGGACTTACTACACTGATAACAGACAAAAGGGATTTTACTGAGATAAAGAACCTTCACGATGAAAGCCAACCCATGAGAAAAGTATAACATATATCACTGCATAGCACAGAGATGCACAGCAACAGCACCCCTAAAATGCATGAAACAAAAACTGACATTGATGGGCGAAATGGACAGTTCCATAAGAAAAGGTGGAGATTTCCGTAATGACTAGAGTAATTAGAAGAACCTCAAAGAGATAAAAGTCTTGAAAAACCGTGTGAATCAACACTATAGAACTAACAGATAACTCTAAAACACTTCATCACAGATACCCCTAAAATCTTCCATCACAGACACCCTTTAAAATTCTTCATCACAGATACCTCTAAAACCTTTTATCACAGATACCCGTAAAATCCTCCATCATAGACACCCCTAAAACTCTTCATCACAGATACCCTTAAAACCTTTCATCACAGATAGCCCTAAAACCCTTCATGACAGAAATTCCTAAAATTTTTCATCACAGACACCCCTAAAACCCTCCATCATAGACACCTCTGAAACACTTCATCTAATCTCACAGTAGACGAGACATTCTTCTCAAATGCAAGGGCATTGTTTTCCAGGATAGAAGGCCATATACTAACCTACAAAACAAGTCTTAATGAATTTAAAAGAATTTAAATAATACAAAAGAAGAATCAATGCCTTCAAACTGTGGGGCTGGAGAAGAAGAGTCTTGAACATGCCATGGACTGCCAAGAAAGTAAGTAGGTCTGTCTTAGAGAGGATCAAACAAAGTCTCTCTTTGGAGGTTAGGATTTTGAAATTCCATCTCACATACTTTGGGCACGTAGCCAGGAGAGATTGGTCCTTGGAGAAGGACATCATGGTCAAGAGAATGGAGGGACAGTGCAGGAGAGAAAGACCCCAGATGAGATGGATTGATACAGCGACTGGGACAATGGGCATTGATGTGTTGGGATCAGTGAGATTGGCTCTGGACAGGGCAGGATTAAGAGCCGCTGTACATAGTGTCATTATGGGACGCAGGCAGCTCAATGGCACATAAAAACAACAGCAAATTAAACATCTGAAACAAAAAGAAATTTTGCAAATATGCAGAAAATAAACAACACACATTTCTAAATAACCCGTTTGGTCAAAAAAGAAGTCACAAGAAAAATGAGGAAATACATTGAGATGAATGAAAACAAAACCACAATGTAAAAAAAGTGTATGGGATATAGTCAAAGCAATACTCGGGGGGAATTATAGCATAGCCATCTACATTTAAAAAGATCTCAAATCAATATCCTAACCTTCCAATTTAACACATTAGAAAAAGCGAGAACAAAATAAAGTTGAGCAGCAGAAAGAGAAGAATAATGACTTGAGAGGGAGAAATGAAAATAAAGACAGCAATAGAGAAAATCAATGACACCAGAAGTTGGTTCTTCAGGAAAATGAGTGAGATTTGTAAAATTTACCTCAAGAGAAAAAAAGAGGATCTCATTTTTTTTTGTTTTTTTTAAATATGGAACGTGTGTCATCCTTGCGCAGCGGCCATGCTAATCTTCTCTGTATCGTTCCAATTTTAGTATATGTGCTGCCGAAGCGAGCACGAGGATCTCATTTTTTAAAATTAGGAATGAAAGTAGTGGCCTTACTACTAATTTTATAAACATAAAAAAGGATTGTAAAAGAATGTATATGGACAAATACATACCAACACATTAGGTAAACTAGATGAAATGAGCTCATTCAAGAAACATACAAATCACTAGAACTGACTCGAGAAGAAACTGAAAATCTCAACAGGCCAACAACAACAAAAGGCGATATACTTCGAGGTCAATTACCCAACGCAGCAAGGTGAGTAAAGACTCCTTTGTGCTCATTCACTCATCACTACTGAATTAGTTTACATTTTCCACCATATCAAAGGAAGCCTGGCATTTCGTTCTCACCACAGAAACACGTTCCAAAAAAAGGAGATGACTTCATAAATGATTATGCTAATGTGTAATTTGGAAAATGCCATTCTGGAGATAAGGGATCAAATATGAGAACACAGGAATGAAGTTTCTCTCAGGGACAGTGTGGGAGAAGCCTTGACATTTGAGCTTGGACTTGAAGGCTTAGTAGGAAGTTCCCTTCAGAATGTCAGGTTCAAACATTCTTAACCTCCCTTCTGATTCAGCAAGGAACTACCAACTTGGAATTTCTTATCTTTCCATCACGCTCTGAGTACCTTAAAAAATATATCAAGCATAATGGAGAAGAAAACTAAGGGCTTATACAGGCATAAATCTTAACTATCTCTGGCTAAGCGAACAAGTAGCGTAACATAAACCTCTGCTTCTCTTATATCCAGGGATGATAGCATGCTCACAGCACACAACAGGGTTTCATAGCATTTCAACAAGTCTTATTTGCTTCTAATTTTCCCTTCCCCACAGGAGCACCTACCAATAATAGCATTAGCTGAAAGGCTGACAGCTTGAACTCAACTAGAGGTACCTCTTAAGTCTTGACAAACCTCTGGAGCCATTCTGTTCTGCACACAGGGTCCCCGTAAATTTGAATCAACAGGACATTATGGTGGACTACAGCTCCCAAGGGTGCAGGTTCTTCTTGCATGTTTTGGGCATGTGGAGAGGGACATCATGCATGGGAAGGTGGAGGGATGGAGAGAGAGAGAGAGGAAGACCCTCAACCAGGTCTATTGGCACACTGACTGAACACAGGAGTGGTCTCAGATCTGTGTTTTACAGGGCTGTTCTGGGTCTTACTCGACTTGACGGTACCTGAGGACAACACCACAACTCATAATGACCCTCTAAACAACGGATGGAAACCTTGCCCTATGCTGTACCGTCCTCGTGACCTCGGCCATACTCAAGCCTGTTGCAGGCACTGTCAGTCCATCTCACTGAAGGACGCCTTCTCTTCCATGGAAACACACTCACAGGATAGTTACTAACATAGTAAAATAGCTCCAGGATTTTTCAGCCTCGGTTTTGTTCTTTTGGGCACAAGTTTTCTTTCCAAGGGAGCTCTAGCGGCATAGTCCACAGGGAGTTGTATTGCCAAGCCAAAAACTATGCCTCTTGATTGTGAAACCATCAGCTATGCAGGAGAAAAACAATCTCTTCCTATGCGTTCAATGGACAGTCTCAGGAACGTGACAGAGGTTCAGCTATGAGGTGGTTCCAACTCCAAGGCGATGTTGCCATCACGACTCATGCTGACCTTCTACTGGGTTTTCAGAAGTTACAAATCTCAAGAGAAGAGATTGCCCAGCTTATCTCCTGAGGAGCAACTGATGGATCCGAACCCTGTGCCTTTTGGGGTTGGCAGTGCAGTGCAGCTCCTAACCAC